TCAATTATGTGTAATAAATCAATTCGGAATACTTTTAATCACAAATTAATTTATTACACACTTAAATTATTTTATTTTTTAATGATTAAGTCGATTATTTACACATATCGGAAAGTTCATGTAACTTGCCTCAAGGCAAAATTCCTTACCAATACCAACTAGTTACAGTTTACATTCGCACTTAAATAAAATGCATTTTTAGAGCACAAAATTTTTAGATAAAATGAAATGTGTTAGACAATTCAATTTAATTTACCGATCTTATAAGTAAATTTGAATAACATTAAATTAAAAATGGTATTGATTATTTATTGATTAGAAAATATTTCTAGTAAAAAATGTTGCACGCCACATATAAATGTTTTTGGGTCATAGTCTTTGCAAGAGCCAAACTAATCTGAAACTGATTCTATTTAAATTGAATTCGCGCATTTAAAGTTTTAAGATTTTGTTATATTATTAACGCGCTATTCTTTAATTCATTGATTTTTGAATTACGGAGGATAATCCAATTAATCATTTTTAAATTAAATTGCAGGCCCAGCATATTGAGATTAAGGGGGTCTTCCTATGTGACGGCCTGTTTTTTAGGGATATTTTAGAATTTTTTTTCTACGACCAGTAAATAGTTAGAGCTTCAAGTTTTTTATCATTTATTAATACATATTTAGACAGTATAAATATAAAATTTCAGCTAAAAAAATTTAGTCCAACTACAGTTACTGCGCTCTAAACACCCTCCCCTCAAAAAAAAGAGCTCCCACTGTCTCCACGATTCCGGCTGATCGGCTTATCTGACCAAAAAAAAATAAACGGCGTTTCAATTTGTAGGCTTAAAAGTACGGAATGAACTACAATCAAATGAATACAAAAAAAATTGGATGTTTTATAGACATTTGAAATAAAAGTTGCAAATTAGGCGTTTTTTTTCTTTGTTTTTTTGCTATAAAAAATCGAAGTTTTGAAATTTTTGATTGATAATAGTTCATTCCATGCGTTTAAATATATTGAATGTGCCCTGTAAATTTCAAGTAATTCGGTCCAGTCGTTTCTGAGATACAATGGAGACAAGTTTGAAAAACACAGTTTTGAGAAAAACGCGTTTAAAGATAAAATGATCATTGTCCTATATACTATATGTATACTTTTTAAATGGCTGTAACTTAAAAACTATTTGAGATATCGATTTGAAATTTTAATATGTTATTTTTAAAGGAGTAATCTACAGAAATATGAAATAAAAAAAATTCAATTTTTTCAACTCATCACATAGGAAGACCCCCTTAAAATAAATTGAGAGAGTGGAAAATTTTGCAGCTTTACCATAGATTTGTATGCTATTATCAAAAACTGTTTTATCCAAAGCATTTATGAACTATGTACCGTTTGTACGCATCGAAAAAAATATTTATACAAAGGAAAAACGGAAAAAGTGGGCAAGCCGTGATAAAAATAAATTATTTCTATTATAAGTAAAATTTATGTTTTATTCTAGGGTCAGAAAATATGAATTAAAATTCAGTAAAAATCATTTGCTGACAGTTACTGAAATGACTAGTATAAAATAGAGAACTGATACCAAAATTTAAAAAAAGTTAGCTTGATAAAAACAAACAGTTTATCGAAGTAAAAAGAGTTCCATGTATTTTTATAATATAGAAAATGAATCAAAGAAAATTGGTCCCAAAAATATAAAAAAATGTTAGGGGTTAGGTGGTTAGAAACAACCTTTGATAGAAATAAATAGTATTTTAATGTGAAAATAGTTGTATGCATTTTTCAATTTCACATTAATAAAATTAAAATAAAGAAAATTGTCCTTAAAAAAGTATTAAGACCTAATTACCTAATACTTTTATGAGAGCGACAACCCTTAAAAAATAAACTGTTTAAGTACTACTCAAGCTTTTTTTTAAGATCAAAAATTATGTCAAAAATGTCTTAAAAATGATTATATTACTACAATGAATATAACAAAATAGGGGTTGGTGATAATAAAGTAGAAGATTAGGATTGTATGTATTTTAAATACCACATTATAAAAAAATAAAAACAAACAAAATCGTCCAAAAAATTGAAAAACTAGTAGTGTATGGCATCGTGCCTCAAGGCAAATTGCTGGAACTTCCCGTATCGTAACGAAATGTTCGAGGAATATTAAATGTTTTCAAATAGATTATTATAAATACTGTAACATTGTCTAATATTTTTAAGAATTATATGAACTGAATTGCAAAGTTAAACTTATTTATTTAAAAGTATATATCGTTTAGAATTTTTGCGTGAATTAAAATTAAAATCTGAATTATTTTCGATATGCAAAAAAAATCCAAAAGCAATTGCTTTGTCAACACAAGCAAAATGTTATTTGAATCATGCTTAGTTCTCTCAAAAACTGTCGTTTTTTGCACATTTAGCTGTGAATCTTCGAAATGGCTAGATTACAAATTGAACGTTTTTTAGATCATTCAAATCGGATACACCGTTCTCTCAAAAACTAGATTTTTATTTTCTGTACTCTTTGCTCTGTATTTCCGTAACTGCTGAGCCTGCCTTTGCCAAAAACTAATCAGCGCATCTCCCTATCAATAGGAATCGAATGTTTTTTGAACCATCCAAATCGGTTGATCCCGGCGCCAGAAAACCTGGACGAAAAAATGCGGATATACAAAACACACACACACACACATCCAATTTTTCTGAGGTATGCTAAAATGTTCAGAAATCTCTGAAACGTAAAGATATGCAAAATTTTCATTTTTTATTTTCGGCCCATTATTATAACTTACCCTACGGGAAGTTAAAGATTTTGTGTGAGCAACCCTTATCACTTAGGGATATGAAAAATAAATAGTAGCCGACTTTCTGAATACGAAAATGAAATTGGATAAAAATTGGTAAAGCCGTTTCGGAGGAGTACGGGAATTTTGTGACATAGAAATTTTATATATAAGATATCTTATCTAAATTAAAAACTCAAGATCGCGATATATATATATATATATATATATACAGGGCCGGTCCTGGGGTCCTTAGCGCCCGCATGCAACTTTTTTTCTAGCGCCCCCCCCCCCTATTAATTTTAACAATTTATCATTAAAATTATATAAATATACACATATTTTTTAAAAATTAATTTTTAATTATTCTGGATTTAGTACTCAAAAAATTAGATATAATCTAGAAGGGTATAAAATATATTGATTTTAAATTTATTTATTATTATCGATATCAATAAATAAAACAATCCCTGTCATAATTTCACATTTTAGTAATATTCAATATGTAGTAAATTGGTTAAGGATGTAAGTTCGACTACCATAGCAAAAGAATTTATTTATTATTATATTTTTGTTAGATTAAAGTTATAGAATTTAAGAAATGCATTTCAGAAATAGTATTTATTATTTTGACATAAAGATCTTGATATCAAAATAATAAATACAGTTTCTGAAATGCATTTCTTAAATTCTATTACTTTAATTTAATAAAAATATTAAGTAAAATATATAAATTAATTTTTAATTATTCTGGATTTAGTGCACAAAAAATTAGATATAATCTAAAAACTTATAAAATATATTGATTTTAAATTTATTTAGAAAATCGAGGCGATTCGGGGGTTGATTATAATCAAATATTTTGAAATTTTCAATTATTTTTAACGTATGTGTAATATTAATATTTAAAAAAACTAGCATTTCTTTTTCAAACATAACACTCGTATTTCTTGTTGGATTTTTTAAATTTTAATTTAATTTAATTTTTCATCATTTACAATATCCAAAATTGCGTCGTAAACTCCGTCCTCCTTGTTGATATCGTAAGAGCCGTCATTTTCAGAGTATTAGCTTGTTGTTTTAAAGTTAAATTTTTAACGTATTTTAGAAGTATTGTTCAAAAATCAGTAAAAAAATGCAAAGAAATTACACATTTCTTGAACAATATTGAAAAAAAACTTATTATATCTGATATGTATCATTTCTGTACAGTTAATAATTATTAAATTTAGAGTATGGACACCACTAGATATAAAACAAGCCTAAAAATTTTCGTTCCAAAGTAAATTTTGCTTCCATTTTTAATATTTGTTCCTCGCATGTCTTCAACATTCAAAGTTCAACAGATGCGAAACATTTGCAACAAAAGCAAAAGTTACAATTCAATTTCTCGGAATAAACAAGTCATTTTCTAAGCTCTGCCTCCCGATTTTTTATAATTTGTTTATATTTTTTGACAAGTTCTGACTCAACTGAATCAGCTCGCAATTTTTCGTCAATAATGCCAAACAATTAATTTAATCTTTCGCAGGTTTGCGCTTATGGGATTGAACACTAGATAATTTCTTCTTCGATTCCACAAACTTCAAACCAAGAAAAAAATGAATAAGTGGATTAAGCAATAAACAGAGCTGTTTATTACTAATTTGCAGAATTATTAATCGCTTAATTGTTTCTACTGATATCACATTGCAAAATAAATATACTTTTTGTGTCTCCGTATCCCTAGTTAAGTTAAATTATTTATTATAATTTATTAAGATTTCTAGATTTTAAATAAATAATTCTAGATTTTATATAAAAAAATATAAATATTATATTATAAATTTAATTTCCGAAACTCGTTTTGGCGCCACCTATATATCTACCGCGTTCTTGAGTTTTTAAATTTACAATAAAAGTTTGAGATTTTATTCGCAATATTAAAGTATATATTAGATACTAGTTGATTAATTATTAATACATAGATTTTATGATTACAAACTTTCAACTCAACATTCATACCATATGTTACAGCTATATAATTATAGAACGTTAAATTTGCTTTATATTTGAATTATATATAAGATCCTCAATATGATATGATTAACTAAATAATCTAATTAATTATCAAATTCATGATATGTCAAATTTGGAGTTTTTAATTTAGTAGTATCGAGTTTTGTATATTAATGGTAAAATTATTCAATGTTGTTAGGCTCTTACAACATTCAAACGTACCATAATCTTCTTGACTTTTTTATCCATATCTTGCGTATCACTTTAGAAACATAACAATTAATTAATAGATATAATGCGATTTAATCCACTAAATATTTTAACCTTTTTTACAATAGTTCTGATATCGACACGGTGCATATAGTTTGTGTAGTATATAAAACATTTATTTGCGCACACTTTATCATTGACTGACATAACCTAGCATGACACACATTCAGTTAGTGAAAATATTGATTAGCTATTGCTCAACGATATGAAGCGGACACTTTTCTATTATCACAGACACGGACAGATAACGTCAAGAGCACTACTAAAGAAAAATGTTTCCAATTATTACATTGGAAATTCTTTAATAAATAAATATTAATTTATGTTTGAGAATAAAAAAAATATGATGCGGAAGCGATCCGCTCTCTTCTAGCACTTACGTTGTACTGTCGTTACGGCAACGCACGGTATATAATATACGGCTAATTGCTACTAACTGAAACTGTTCTGATTATTTCTAATACATTTCAAGTAACATGAATGCATTCATGTTACTTGACAAAGTTCGAACGATAACACGTTCCAAATATTAAAATATATTTTAATATTTTAGAGCTAATTTTTTGTGCTGAAATATATATTTCAGCACAAAAAATTAGCTCTAAAATAAAAACATGAAATAGAATAAAAAATTCAATCATTTCACAATAAAATTATGCCAAGTAACTTTATTAATTTAAATTTTATTATTAACTTCCCGTATGGTAAGTCATTGTAATCGTCCAAAAATCGAACCTGAAAATTTTTACATTTCTTCACGTTTTGAAGGTTTTCTGAACGTTTTCGGGCGTTTGGCATACCTCAGAAAAATGGATATGTGTTTGTTTGTCTGTATGGATACAATATTTTGTTCACGTTTTCGGGCGTACAGATCTGATTTGAATAAAAAACATTCGATTCTTATATTGATAGAGAGATGTGCAGATTAGTTTTTGGCAAAGGCAGGTCCAGCCGTTACGGAGATACAAAGCAAAGAATGCAGAAAATACAAATCGAGTTTTTGAGAAAACGGAGTATCCCATATGAATTATCTAAAAAATATACAATTTGTAATGATTTGGAGAAGAGGTATTAGTTTCTTGGCAAAGGCAGGTCCAGCCAATTAGAAGACACACAGCTAAATGTGCAAAAAATGGCAGTTTTTGAGAGAACGAAGCGTCCGATTTGAATGATTCAAAGAACTTTCTGCTTGTTTAAAAATAAATGCTTTTGAAAAAAATTGTTTCAAATTTTTTTTTTCAGATTTTTTTTGTATATCGAAAATAATTCAGATTTTAATTGTAATTCTGACTTAAGTTCTAATATACATTAAACAAATATCTTCAACTTTGGAATTCAGTTTATATACAATATATAAGTTATATACTATATTATATAGTTATATCAATGTTACAGTATTTATTTATAACTAGCTGACCCGGCAAACGTTGTTTTGCTAAATAAGGTATATTCTAATCTAAACCATTTCTAGAGAATCAAAAATATTAATACTTTAATGGAGAAGAGGTGATTAGTTCTAGAAGAGGTGATTAGTTCTTGGCAAAGGCAGGTCCAGCCAATTAGAAGACACACAGCTAAATGTGCAAAAAATGGCAGTTTTTGAGAGAACGAAGCGTCCGATTTGAATGATTCAAAGAACTTTCTGCTTGTTTAAATAAATGCTTTTGAAAAAAATTGTTTCAAATTTTTTTTTTTTCAGATTTTTTTTTGTATATCGAAAATAATTCAGATTTTAATTGTAATTCTGACTTAAGTTCTAATATACATTAAACAAATATCTTCAACTTTGGAATTCAGTTTATATACATATATAAAGTTATATACTATATTATATAGTTATATCAATGTTACAGTATTTATTTATAACTAGCTGACCCGGCAAACGTTGTTTTGCTAAATAAGGTATATTCTAATCTAAACCATTTCTAGAGAATCAAAAATATTAATACTTTAAGTGCATAAGGATGTTTTTGAATGCTGTATACAATTAGGTATTATAAAAACAATAAACCCCATTAGTTTGTCTATATTTTGTCAATACAATCAAACTGCAAGTTTTATACACTTTCTATAGAAAACATAGTATAATCCAATCCGAGTCTTTTTTGGTCTTTCGGCTTATTAATTACGTTTCAAGTTTTTCAGATTCTTTTTGGACTCTGGATTTGTGTATAATTGTAAATAATACTACTGAGCTTATACAAAATTTTCAAATTTTTGCGAGGAGAGATAAAAAATGAATTAAGAATTTCTTCTTTGACCTGCTTTTTGAAAAGTTTCAAGTTACATTTGATGAATTAAAGTAAATTTAATAAAAAGTATATATGCAGAGCAGGGCGAGACACAATAAAGGTCCAACTTGACTTTGAGCAAATATAAACTATATTGTGAAAACCATAACAATTATATCACAACAAATAAGACATATCAAACGAACAATTATCTGACTACGTTCAGTAAACTGACTTCTACTTCATCATTGTAGAAATGTGCTTTTTTGATGTCTTCCAAAAATTAGTTATCTACACCTTTTTATCCTATATGCGGGGTAACTTGTAACGGGCAGGTGGCAAAAGGTTTAAAGCCTTATTATAATTTTAAAGGTATTTCACAAAATAATTACATTTATAACTAATGCTAAAACTACCAACGGAAGAAAATACTTTTATTATGGATTTTCAAAGATGACCGTTTATCTCCCCCATTTCAAAGATTATCGTTTTCAAATCAAGTTTGTAGCTGGCTATACATCTTTTTTCCTCTACTTTCAAATATTGTTGTTAACAATGCTTAACTTTACTGATTTTTGGCACATTGGTGGTGGACCTTTTTAATCCCGGACCTTCATATATTACTATCTATTCTGCGATAAATTCTGGGAAATTATAACTGGAAAAATGTTATTCGACAAAATGTCCATTTGATCGATACCAAATTTAGGTTCTGAATTTAAATAAGATAAATAAAAAATAATATAACCTAGAAAATGTTTTATAAATACCAATGAGTATATAATTATACAAATGAGATCTTTCAGAGCACCGTATTTGAGAAAAATATGCCAAAAAGTGCATTTTCATATTAACATATCAAAAAAGTTTATATTTTGAGTCTCTAGTAACACTTGCGGCCCGTTTACTAACGTTTTTGTATATAAATAAAACTACAAACAAAATTACTTGCTACAATTTAATCATAATTAAATTATATTCACGTAAAACATCCTATTAAACATAATCGAACATCATTTTTATATATAAGATAATCTATTTGAAAACATTTAATATTCCTCGAACATTTCGTTACGATACGGAAAGTTCCTCCAATTTGCCTTAAGGCACGATGCCATACACCATGTAAGTACCATTTTACCCCAGGCTAGTTGCATAAACTTCCTGATACTTTATATTGACCAATAAGAATTGAGATTCAGGTATTTAGGTAAAATATTCAATTGGTTATTTCGGAAATAAAATTTTCGCTTTCACCAAAAAATAATTAATTCGATTTCCAATTGAAGCTTTTCAAACATACTTATAATACACGTAATTGCATAAATTAAAGTTAATATGTTCAAAACAATTCATTTCATCCGTTTCGGGTTTTAAAAATGTCTTTCATTTAAGTATGGAATTAAACTGTACTCTACTACCAGCAAAACACAAAAGAACGTTCATATCATAGATAAACTAGTGGTGTATAGCATTTTGCCTTACGGCAAACTGCTGGAACTCCCCGTACCGTAACGAAATGTTTGAGGAATATTAAATGTTTTACTGTAAAATTGTTTAATATTATAAGAATTATATCAAATGAATCACGAAGGCAAAAATATTTATTTAAAGTATGTGAGCTTTAATACTTTAGCGAGAATTAAAATTGAAATCTGAATTATTTTCCATAAAAAACTGAAATTAAAGCAATTGTTTTGTCAACACAACAGAAATTTTTGTGAATCATTCAATTTGGATGCTTATTTCTCTCAAAAACTGCCATTTTTTGTACATTTAGCTCTGTATCTTCAAAATGGCTCGGTCTGCTTTTGTCAAAAACTAAAAACCACTTCTCCCAATTATTACAAATTGAATGTTTTTTAGATCATTCAAATCGGATGCTCCGTTCTCTCAAGATCTCGATTTATATTTTCTGCACTCTTTGCTCTTAATCTCCATAACGGCTGGACCTGTCTTTGCCAAAACTAATCAGCACATCTCTCTATCATTGCGGACACACAAAACACACACATCCATTTTTTCTGAGGTATGCCAAAATGTTCAAAATGTCGAGAAATGCAAAAATTTTCATTTAGTATTTTATTTAGATTCTATACTATTGAAAATATGAACTTGTTTTTTTTTTTTTTTTTTTTTGTTTCCGTGCTTTCAGTTCTCTGTATTTCCTCTTTTCGCGTAAGTCATTCTTCTTCTTCCCATTCCTTTCAGTCTTTCTATTTTGCCTTCAATGATGTTGTGTAGGAGATATTTTTTTTGCATAATGGGTCCGATCCACTTTTCTGTTCTTTTCACGATCGTGCCCAGTAGAGTCCTTTCTTCGCCCACTCTTCTCAGGACTTCTCTCTTCTCAGGACTTCTTCATTTGTTATCTTGTCAGTCTTATTTATTTTTTTACTTTTACTTTATTTTTTCCATTCGCCTCCTCCATCACCACACTTCAAAATATTCTCCAGATAGTTCTTGTCGGCTTTTCTAGACTCCATGCCTCTGATCCGTACAGAGCTATGCTCCAGACGTAGCACTTTATTAGTATCTTCCGTAAGTCGAGACTCTGTTTGCTCGTCAGTAGGGTTTTTTCTTCTCGCGAATGCCGCCTTGGCGTTTGCGATCCTTGTCCTGATCTCTCTCGCGCAGTATCCGTCTCTGGTCAAAACGCTTCCTAATATCTGGAACAATCACGTCTTCTAATTCTCGATTTCCTACTGTCGGAGGATCATCTCGTTTTGATACTCTCTCTCATCACTTTCGATTTGTCGATGTAGATTTTAATGTAAAATTTGTCTATTAAAAAGGGCGACTCATAAACCCATTACTTTTTCCTACCGCCATCAATATATAAACAATAGTCGCCGAAAATTCATCCGTTATTTCTACCCTAATAATATGCAAATAATAGGCATGTGTTAAAAAAATACAAATGAATACGAATTATATAAATTTGAAACTAAAAATAGCAAATAAAACTATAAATGAACTAGTTGGTATTGGTATTTTTCTTGAGGCAAGTTGCATGAAC